ATAATATGTTTAATTTAAATTAATAACACTATTTTCTTATTATTATACCGAATAAAATTAAGTGAGTTTGCCGAGAATTGACGTAGTACCGCACTACTAAGTGACCAAGACTAAAATTAAATAATTAAATCACGAACCCATATATCACAAAATATACGAGCTACCATTTTCCTTCGGAAATGATACTCCTTTGGCTAACACCGCAACATGCATTGAATTATATCCAAAGGAAAGACAGCAGGGAAAGAAATTTAATTTTTCTTACTTAGAAAAAGGTCTTTCTTGGAATGAAACTCATCAGCAAGAAATAAATATTCTCAATTCCAATATCTAAGTAAATATAACGTCCATTGTCATCTGTTTGATACTGTTTTTATTATTTCTATGAAATATTAATTATGTTTATTTGTTACAGGTATGTCAATTCTATCCATTTCTAGAAGCTAAATAAGTAGGTAAGTCCTAACAATTTAAAACAAGAACAAGCTGATGGAAAAAAGCCAATTATTCAACATTCCCGTTACTCCAAATTCTTATTTTCATTTTCCGTTAATTTATAAATTTTTTAAAATTTAATCACTGGCATTTTGTGTACCAATTTAACCTGTAATACGAACTCGAAACAAACGCATTTTATAAATTGACCTCGCCTCACCTAATTACTAACAAATTAACTAAAAATGAAATTCACCGATCAATGATCATAATACCAGTAATATCATCGACGTTATTAGCTTTTGTACTGGGAAGTTTACTGTTTATTTATCTTTGACGGTAACGAAATGTAGTAGTAGCGATATACCCAACAAATTAAGAACAGATTAAAAAAAATAACTAAATACAAGACTTGGCAAATGAATGGAATAAATTAATGTACTTGAAACTTAAGATTCTAAAAATAATAGACGTAGAAAATGGACAGCAATAAATAGATAGAAAATAAACATAAATAAAATAAAAATATATTAAAATAAATAAAAATAATAGATAAAAATAGATAAAAATAGACTTCTTTACAACCACTATTGGACTCACATACCGTGTGTTACTTGTTTCAATAATTTCCTCACCTAACATTTTACTTATCTCTTTTCCAACATCCTTTCTATACCTATACGGTATTGGATATGTTTTAATTCTGAAATTTTCTAGACCCTTTACTTCTATCTTATGCACATAATTCTCTACCACAATCATTTCTTTCATAACTAACCTTTTATACTTTTCTAGTAAATCTCGGATTATACTTTTATACTTTTCATCACATACAAACTCAATTTCACCTTACACTTCCTAATTTTTCCACGTTTCTTCTACCATATTACACCTCTTCTCATCCACTATATACACTTATATTCTGTTCTTTTACTTGCAAACTCAGAAATCTCTCCATTTATCTCTACTATCCATTCATCATAATCAATTTTAATTCTTTTCTTAAATAAAATATCTGTCCCAATTACTAAATCCACCTCCAAATTTGGTACTACCAAAAATTGATTCTCTATTCCTATATTATTTCCTAACCTAAATATTGTTATTACTGATTTATTCACCTCGTATAATTTTTTTCCATTTTCACCTACCAAAACAGTTTTTGGTACCTTTATAATATCATTTTCCCCTTTTATTATCTTTTCATTTATTATTGACACCTCTGATCCTGTATCTACTAAAATTTTTATCTCTTTATCCCCTAGTTTCCTTTTAAATAAATTAACCCTATTTCTTCCCTATTTTGATCTATACTTTCACCCAAATTTATAAATTCCCTCGGATGTTCATACAAACTTTCATGCAAACTTTAATTTTTAGTCTTGGTAAGTGCTTCTTACCAAATTTTCGTTATTCTATAACTTGTACGTTATTCACTCTACGACTTCTTTCGCCTGTATTTCCCTCCTGATTTCTCATATCTTGTGATACATCTCTTCTATTATTCCAATTTCCATTCCTATTATATACATTGTCATTGTCATATCTTTCATTATTTCCATAATTAGTTGTTCTGTTCCAATTTTTCCTTCTTCTGTATTCTCTATCATTATCATTATTAAAATGTATTTGTCCTCTTCCCTCTTCTCCTTGGTTATTCCTATCATACCTATCATTTATTCTTATCAAATTCCTCCTATCATACCCGCATGCACTATTTTGCTAAATTTTCATGAGATACGTTAATAATTAATTGATCCATCTTACTAATTCCTTGGAATGTTATTTGGGCTGAAATTTCATCTTTCAAATGCTTACATATATCTTACTATCTGCTCCTCTGTCATTTGTGCATCTAAGTATTGAGCCATGTTATTTAAATTTGCTGCATACATATTATAGTCAATATATATCCTTTATTATCAAGTTTACCCTGTATTAACATATTCTTAATCTTAATCTCTTATCTCTCCCCAAAAATAGTTCATAAATTGTTTCTCCAACTCCTGTAAACTCTGAATCTCTTTCTTTTTCCTATTCCACCATAAACAATTTAAATAAACTTCTAAAATTCTCTTAATTTCACTAAAATCATCTTGTCCCCTTATTTTTATAATTTCAAATTTCCATTAATTTTATCATTAATACTTTTCCTTGATTATTACCATTATTATTTTTATTCCCTCTTCTTTCCTCTATTTGATTTAACTTCTTATTTATTTCTAATAGCTTTAAATCCATTCTGTTGGATAATTGTTTTTCCAAATTACCTGTTTGCTTATTTAACTTCTGACTATATTCTTCTTCTATTTCTTTGATATTTTACTTCACTTTCTCCAAATTCGATATCCTACCGTTATTTTTGTGTACACCTGTTTTAACACTGTCTATCACTGTATAGACCTTTTTTTAAATCTTCTCCTTTTTCTGTTATTATTTTATATTGCTTATCTTGATCCTTTTCTACTTCATCTATTCTTCCTCTCATTTCTATTCTTATATTCTTCTCATTTTCTTTTATTTTTTGTCAGTGTACTTTTTTAAATCCTCAAACTTCTTCATTATTTCTTCTTTATCTTGTTTCCTATTTTCATCTATATTCTTACGATTTTCCTCTAATTTATTCATTTTCTTATTATCTCTCTATTGTTTTCATCCATTTTTCCAATGAGCACTTGTATAAAATCTTCCAAATTCATTTCTTATTTCTTTCCTTGAGTCTCGACAATGTTCTTTCCTAATGTCGCTGTATTTTTTTCTGTTCCTCTATTTTTTTCTTCAAAAATTGTATCTCCTATATTTTGCTGTTCCATATCTCCTTATCCTATTTGATCTACGCTCTCATCATCTCTCTCCTGTTCTTCCATCAAACCAACCTTCTTTCCTCCTCGCAAGTCTATCTAATATATTACTTTATCTTATATATAACTTTAATATATCACTTTTAAACTTTTATATTCCACGTCACATTTGGCTACTAATGTTATTTTCCCCCTACTTAAATTCCACCCATATTTCCTAAACTTTATATCCTGTCAATGTATTCCTCCTCTTGTCTCCTAAATCAAACAAACATTACATACATGCAATATATTTTATGTTTATATAAAAAATATACCAGAATCAGCACTTCAAATAAACAAAACTATAAACAATCTTACCAATTTCCTTCCAAATTCCAAAATTGCAAATATCCAAAATTTTGATCTCCCTCTAGAAACAATGATGCACGTTGGCTAGCGCCACTTGATATAGAAACCCCCTGTATATCAATTTTTATATAAATTTGCCCAGACTCTCAAAAAGAGTGGTTCGGCTCTAAAAATTTTACAAAACAATATTATTTACCAAATTTAATAATAAACAGAAAATAAATTTTTAAATTCTTCAGTCTTCCCGTTAGCTCCTTGTCTTCACTTGTCTCTATTGTCTCTACCTGTCAGCTTGTATCTGCCTATCTGCTTAAGAGAACTGCAATTTCTTCGAATACAGATATATTTTCAAAAAATCCAAAATCAGTAACCAATAAGATATGCTGCACCAAAATATTTTGCATCAGGAATGATTAGAGGTCACGATCTGGTAGTAAAAGATCGCCACCTAAACACGTTAGAGATAAGAGGAATCGTGAATAATTTTACAGAATGCAGTTATATTGTGATTACACTAAGTATGAAAACATTATCAACAAAGTGTGTTAATAATAATATAATTAAAATACGCCGGCGATTAAAGAACAGAGCAAACAATGGTGCCACAGTAGCTTTCCTTCACGAAAAAAACAAGTCTTTACACTGTCAAATATTTATATTATAACAATTAATAATTATTGTTATTTAAATACAACCAAATTAAAAGCAAATGCTCAGATAGACGAGCAGTGAACTCTTCTCAAACTTTTTTAATATCTTCCAGACTTATTTCGATCCGTATGCGTTCATCAATATTTTGTGGTTTTATTTTTGGTATATTTTACTTTTTTAATTTCCAAATAATAATTAATTTTGGAAAGATGTTGTTCAAGTAGTTTTTCACAAAGGCGACAGTGCAGGGGCGCAACTTCTTGCTGTAGCCACAAATCATTTCTCTTTAGAAACAACCGATTCAATTCGGGTAGCAAGAAGTATTGCAGAAATTATAAATATGGAGGACCTGTTAAGGATGATTATATAGGTGCACACACATGCACGTGTTCTAATAGCAATGAGTAGTCTCAGTTATTTAACTTACTAGTATCACTAGATCGTTCTGCGATTAAAGGAGATGGCAGGGCAGCTTTTGCTAACTTTTTTTTTCAAACTGCAAGTTTACAAATCAATTGAAAATGTGTAAAAAGCAAAAGAACTCTACAATTATTATGTTGAAGTAAATGAGTCGTAGTTAAGTTGCAGATCCATAGTAATGGCTAACAAACAACCTAGAAAAATTATCATAGAAAATAATGAAAGTAACATTTGAGAAAAAGAAAGAAGAAAACAACATAATGGATGTTTCAGTTATTGATGAAATAGACAATAAGATAAGGAGAAAATGAAGAAATTTAGAAGAGAAGACAAAGAGGATATATGGATACATATGGAATTCAGAGATATAGATGGAATGGAAAAGAAAATAAAAAAATAGAAAAGAAAAGAGAAAAGAAAATAGAAAATAAAATAGAAAATAAAATAGAAAATAAAATAGAAAATAAAATAGAAAAGAAAATAGAAAAGAAAATAGAAAAGAAAATAGAAAAGAAAATAGAAAATAAAATAGAAAAGAAAATAGAAAAGAAAATAGAAAAGAAAATAGAAAAGAAAATAGAAAAGAAAATAGAAAAGAAAATAGAAAAGAAAATAGAAAAGAAAATAGAAAAGAAAGTAGAAAAGAAAATAGAAAAGAAAATAGAAAAGAAAATAGAAAAGAAAATAGAAAAGAAAATAGAAAAGAAAATAGAAAAGAAAATAGAAAAGAAAATAGAAAAGAAAATAGAAAAGAAAATAGAAAAGAAAATAGAAAAGAAAATAGAAAAGAAAATAGAAAAGAAAATAGAAAAGAAAATAGAAAAGAAAATAGAAAAGAAAATAGAAAAGAAAATAGAAAAGAAAATAGAAAAGAAAATAGAAAAGAAAATAGAAAAGAAAATAGAAAAGAAAATAGAAAAGAAAATAGAAAAGAAAATAGAAAAGAAAATAGAAAAGAAAATAGAAAAGAAAATAGAAAAGAAAATAGAAAAGAAAATAGAAAAGAAAATAGAAAAGAAAATAGAAAAGAAAATAGAAAAAAAAATAGAAAAGAAAATAGAAAAGAAAATAGAAAAGAAAATAGAAAAGAAAATAGAAAAGAAAATAGAAAAGAAAATAGAAAAGAAAATAGAAAAGAAAATAGAAAAGAAAATAGAAAAGAAAATAGAAAAGAAAATAGAAAAGAAAATAGAAAAGAAAATAGAAAAGAAAATAGAAAAGAAAATAGAAAAGAAAATAGAAAAGAAAATAGAAAAGAAAATAGAAAAGAAAATAGAAAAGAAAATAGAAAAGAAAATAGAAAAGAAAATAGAAAAGAAAATAGAAAAGAAAATAGAAAAGAAAATAGAAAAGAAAATAGAAAAGAAAATAGAAAAGAAAATAGAAAAGAAAATAGAAAAGAAAATAGAAAAGAAAATAGAAAAGAAAATAGAAAAGAAAATAGAAAAGAAAATAGAAAAGAAAATAGAAAAGAAAATAGAAAAGAAAATAGAAAAGAAAATAGAAAAGAAAATAGAAATTGTAAAAGTAGAAGATAGAAGATAAAGTAGAAATCAAACTTTGTTTAAATTACAAAACAGAAGAGATTAATATTGACAGAAGGGTGGAAATTTTTGACAGTTAATAAAATTTTTAATTTAGAAAAGAAATACTTTTAAAACAAAAAACTAAAAAAGATATAAACAAAAATGAAGAAAACGATTTAAGAAAAATAGAAGAAGTAAAAATATAAATTCAAGAAAGATAAATTAAAAATGCAGAGAAAGTAATTAACAGTGTTAATTTATTTATAGTTTATTAATCTAAAACACACTATTTACAATTTATTTATGACGTACTAATTAATTTATATAATAATTAGACACTAACTCACAATTCTAATTTATTTATTACTATTTATGTATTCAGTCCAATACTTTATACTTAACTAAACTTTCCGCTGATGAGCCGAGCTATTTATACCAAGTCCAATTCTGCTACGAGAAGTCTCTAGACGCTCCCGAAAATTCCATCTCTGACTGAACGGCACGCGTTACCCGTTCTAGCCGTTTCTCGAGCGTCAGCGACATTCCTAGAAGATTCCGTCGTTTTGAGCATAAGTCGGGTGCCAAGCTGAAGGTCGCTTGCTTTAAACAGGGTCGGCTTAGGGATTTCATGACATTGCCCCCTCCTTAAGAAATAGTTCCTCCTGGAACTAAAACTGAATGGTTGTATTTGCAACTGGATCCTCTTTTACAATTTCCAGTTGCATGGAAGTAACAAGGGACAGTCTTCATTATAACCTGAACGCTGGGAGAATGGCTGCAGACATGGGTATCTTGAAAGATTACTTCCACCATGTTTCTTATGATCCTCCAATTCAGCTGATTGCTCTCTATCTTTGGCATAGCTAGTTTCTGTACATTGGACTCCAGTACATGCTCCCTCAGACTGAGTAATGCTTTCCATACATCCTGATAGGTGGATCGATCTCGGAAGGTGTTCTTTGTTATCAAATAGAAAAGATAACGCGATCCATCTTGAAGTTTTAATGCTTTTCCAGGGGCTGGTAACTGATCTTGAAGTTCTGGCAATCGACCAAACTTCTTCCGGAATACAGATGCCAGACCTCGAGTGACGTAAATGTTGGCGGAAGTGCTATGGACAAGCGAGTAGTCTTTTGAAACCGTGAGCAGGTCTTGTTGTTGCTCGGTTGTAACACCATGTCTTGCTTTTGGGGTACCTCTATCTGCTATATGCACCCATAAATTCTTTAAAGACAAGGTCAGGTGTTTCTTGGAGTTGGTTTACTTCTTCTTCATGATCACCCTCAAATGGCGCCAGCCAGTTTTGGTGCACTACCTTTGGTTTACCGTTGGGGATCTTACTTATACGGTAAATGACATCATTGATTTTTTTCTTGATAAGATATGGACCTTCCCAAGACCTTTGAAGCTTCGGAGAATAACCCTTTTGTCTTTTTGGGTTGTGGAGCCACACTTTGTCGCCTTTATTTTTGTGACTTGGGTATCGTATCGCTTCTTTATTCTGTCGCAGGCGATTTGAAGATGCGAGTGAACTAATTCATGCATATCGTCCATTCTTCTTCGTAACTATATCACATAACCTTCACCAGCTACATCTTCTTCAGGTCTGCATCGAAAATCAAGGTCGCACGGTAGTCTCGTCTCACGCCCAAACAGGACCTTTGCTGGTGTTTGGCCTGTTGATTCATTGACAGCGGATCTATAAGCCATTGTAAAGAGCGAAAGATACTGATGCTGATGGTTTCAAAACTACTTTTGACAGATATTTGCCAATTGTCTTATTCATTCGTTCTACCATTCCATCGGATTGTGGGTGCAATGCTGTGGTTCTGGTTTTCTTCATGCCTAGTCTCTCACAGATTCCACGGAAGAGTTGGCTTTCAAAATATCTGCCTTGGTCACTGTGGATCTCCAAGGGCATTCCAAATTGACAGATAAAGTCTTTTATCAATGCGTCTGCAATAGTTGCGGCCTCTTGATTTGGAATGGCGTAGACTTCCACTCACTTCGTGAAATAATCCATAACCACCATCATGTATTTATTACCATTCTCGGTCGTGGGGAATGGTCCAGCAATATCTAAAGCGATCCTCTCAAATGGGGTACCAACATTGTATTGCTTTATAGGAGCCTTCCTTTTTCGTTGAGGTCCATTACTCATAGCACAGCTGGTACATTTCTTACACTAGTCCTTTACATCATCGGAACTGTTCATCTAATAAAACCTTTCCCGAACTCTCTGAAGGGTTTTCCTAACACCGAGATGCCCTCCTGATAGACTGTCGTGTAACTGACGAAGTACTTCGGATACTCTACTCCTTGGAATGACCAACTGTCTTCTGTTCTTAAAACCATCATCATTTTCAAGTACTCGCTTTAAAAAGCCGTCTACCAGGATAAAGGAGTCCCACTGAACTCAACATGATTAAACTACTGAAGAGAGTTTCGATACTTCTTGCCAAGTAGGTCGACGATTTTCTTTTTTTTATTTTCTTATCTGCTTTAAAACGGGATCGCTGACAACCAACGTTCTTTGTACTGTAACTTCTTTAACAGATGTGGTCAACCCCTTTCCAATCAGAGTTTCTTTACCAACACCTTCATTGCGCTTTGAAGATTCCGCCATGACAGGCGTTGCTTTCTCTAAAGTTCCTTGCAACCGCCTTACTCTTATGGTTTCACTTTTTTCAGCCAACACCTTTCCTTCCTATACAGCCACCGACACGGATTTTCGATTCGTAGTGTTTTTTGGGCGTTTGTGCGAACTGCTTACTTTTCCCATTTCACCGCAATTCCAGCACCTAATAGCCTTCGGTTGCGTCTCAATAAGGTTTTTTATCATGTGAAACAATTAGTCCAATTTATTTCCCTGTTCTTCTTCTTTTACAGTCCTTGCTTCACTGTATCCACCAGAAGCCAGCGTAGCCCCTTCATATCCAAGAGCAGCGGACAAGACATCGACCAATGTTTTGTGACGGGCTAAACGAAGTGTTCTTTACATTTCATGCTCACGAAGTCCATCTACAAGTGCTTTAACGGCCAAACATTCAATCATGTATTCCGGAGCTGATGGGTAGGCAAATCGCACCATCTTCGCAATATCTAATTCGAATTCTTGAAGGCTCTCGTCACGTTTCTGTTTGCGATTCTTCAAGTGTAATCTGTACACCTGCTCCAAGTGTTCGTGGCCATATCGCATGTTGAGTCTCTTTTTCAGTTGTTTAAAATCATTTGTCTCTTCCACGGGTATAGTCGGAAGGACATCTAAAGCGTCTCCTCGAAGGGCGATTGTCAGATTTACTGCCTTTTCTCTCTCAGACCATTCGTTTGGTCTCGCAGCTGTCTCGAACTATTTAAGGTAGTTGGTCTATGACATCTTCCCGTCGAAAGTTGGGGCTTTAACACGAGCAGAGTTTACAATTCCTTCTAATTTTAACTTCGACTCTACCTCATGGCATTTTTTTTCACCGTTCTTGGTTTGGTCTACGTGTTCCATTTCTTCGATCTTCTTTTCCATCCTGTACAGAAGACATCTTGTTTTCCACATTAACAGTGATTTCATTTTTTAGAGAAGACAGAAGAAATTTCATCTTTCAATAAAAATATTTTGTTTTCCAAATCGGAAAAAGATATGTCAGAAGTCACCTTTTCTTCTAAGGAAGAAATATTGGACGAAACTTTACTTTCTAAGGAAGTAATGTCAGAAGAAACTTTACTTTCCAATGAGGAAATGTTAGAAGAAATATCGGTTTCATAGAGGTCAGACGAAACTTTGGTTTCTAAAGAGGAAATGTCGGAAGAAACTTTACTTTCTAACGAAGAAATAGAAGAAATTGTAGCAGAAGATGAATTATGAGAAAATAGATACGTTTCCGAATCCAAACTTTAATTTTCTAGTGCTTCTTTAAGTCGTTCTGCCAGTTCTGCTTTATTTCCTGTCGTCTCCAACTCGCGATCTTCTAACTCCCGTCGTAACTCGGTCACTTTTAAATCACACAGTCTTTTAGCCATTTTTGTCCACTATTTATTTACACTATTCCACTTCTCGGCATCAATGTGATGTTTGTTTAGTTTAAATAACAGTTTATTTATTAATAATTTATTTAAACACTTATTTATTTTATAATACTACTATTTTAATTTATATATATTTCGAATATAGACCTTGCCAAGGCCTTTGACACTGTGGATCATACACAATTGTTAACGGTCTTGGAAAACACAGGGATTCGTGGTACTCCCCTGAAACTTTTTAAAAATTATTTATCAGGCAGAGAGCAAATTGTTAAAATTGGAACAGCGTATAGCAATTCTAGAACTTTAACCTACGGTGTACCCCAAGGAACCGTATTAGGACCAACCTTTTTTTCGCTATATCTAAATGATTTATTCAATGTACAAAGTAATGGTCATATAATTAGTTTTGCAGATGATACGGCCATATTATATGAAGCTGAAAATTGGGATGATCTAAAACAACAAAGAATCACACAAACAAATTAGAAATACTACAAAAGAGAATATTAAAAATTATACACAATAAAAAAACTCGATATCCGTCGGATGCCCTTTTCTCTGAAATAAATATATTTGATATCAAACAGTTATATGTTTACACATCACTTATGTACACTTATAAAAATAAAAACATTTTAAAAAAAATTAATCATAAATATAACACCAGAATTAAACAACAAGGTCATGTGCAAACTTACTTGGCAAAGACATTTTAATTTCTTGATAAGTAAAATTTACAACTTTATTCCAGATATGTACAAATTGTATTTATTGACGATAAACTCAAAACATTTATTCAAGCAAATTTTTATTAAATTATTTATTAAATACTCAATTAACTTTAATTCATGCAATTTTTGAGTGATTAGTAGTCGGATCTGAAATTGCGAAGCGATATAATACAAATATATTTAACAATCTTACACATTTAAGCTCTATTAAAAATATTTTATATATAATGTAATTATAATTTTTTTTTTAAGTGTGCACATCTGTTTTAAA